TCCTTGTTTGCTTAGGACGTACACGTACCTTGTTATTGGAAAAGAAAACACCCAGGTTTATTCTGTGTCCTTAATTTTATAGCAACTGCTGGAGCAAAATGAAATGGAAAGGTCAAAGCACTAGAGTAAATAAAATTACTTGGCTTGTGGATTTCATGGAATTTCCCCAAATAATTTACCAAATATGAAATACTTTGGGCTCAAATTTTTCCTCTTTTCATTTAGAAGCAATCCTGAATACTTGAACTCTGCTATAAATTATGTTATCAGAAGTCTGGAAGTTTATATTTCAAATTTCCTGTAATCTCTTCTACTCATTTGTTGGTAGACAAATGAGTAGACAATCAGTATCTGGGGAGGATGGCAGCTTTTAAAAATCCATAGAGCTGGGCCCGATGGCACATACCTGTAATCTCAGCACTCAGGAGGCTGAGGCAGGAGGATTACTATGAGTTTGAGGCCAGCATAGGCTACAAAGTGAGTTCAAATCAGCATTAACTGCACAGTGAAAGCTTGTCTCAAAAAAACAAAATAAAAAGTAAAAAGCATAGAGATTTTCCGCCTGTTCAGGAGACTGTGATTTACTCTAACCTTTTAAAACATGTTTTAAAATATCTATTGCTCCTTTATAAATCACTACATGATTTTGGCTTTAGTTTTGTTTGATCTCATAGGACTTTGTTACCGTCAAATACAGTGCCTATGAAAGGCCCACCCAGTTTCAATTAAGATTTTCTCAACTGGGCATGGTAACAAACACCTGTAATCCCAGCACTTGGGAAACCGAGGGAGGAGGATTGCTCTAAATTTGAGGCCAGGTTGGGCTACATAGTGAGTTTAAGGCCAGCCTGCACTACAAAGTGAGACTCTGTCCCAAAAAAACAAAACAAAGGAAAAGGTTTTCTCTACATTTCAAGTTTTAAAAAAGTTTTAAAAATTTTAATGGTTTAGGTTTTTTGAGACAGGCTCTCACTATATTCAAGTTGGCCGCTTGAACTCATGCTGATCCTTTTACCTCACCTCCCACAGTTCTAGGATTATGGACCTGCAGCACCATGCCCAGCTTCTCACTTTAATTCTGAAACAAATTCCCTAAAAGAATTAACTCTCTGACCTTGTAATGGAATCAGTCAGAATGGCAATGACTATTGCTTTTTAATTTTTAAATTTCTTTCTAACAGAAATGTCCCAAAGAAGTGTCCAGTATCAAAACTGGGAGAAGCTGGTTTACATCTTTATTGTAGAGTAAAATCATTTTAGTGCAGATTATGAATTTGGCTTTTTTTTCTAAGTGATCATGGTCATCTAAAGACGTAAAACAACTGATAGTATAATAGTATAACTACATCTGAGACTCTTCCAGCTCTGTTCGGCACAGAAGTTTCACCTTACAAACAAGACTGGAGAAGATAGTATGGGGACAAGTGGGTTAAGATTATTCCTTTGTGGATTTCATCAAAGCTTCTTAAAAAACTCTGCCCCATTAAGCTGCTATTTTTGGAGAAGTGACAGCAATGGGGACCTAAAGTTTTATACAAATGTCAGTAGAACTTATATTTTTATTCAGTGGTGCGTAGATTTAATCTTATTACCTATTAATGGAACACAGAATGTTCTCAGTAATTGTTTTGGCTTCAAGTTGGCTTTCTATCTTCATGATCTTTACTAAATTTAACTGGCCTAAACCCAGCTAGAAAAGACTCCATGATAGCTCTAATGCATTGGTTTCACATTTTCCAAATCAGAAGCTTTCATAAGGGTATAATCTGGCAAATCAAAATATAATTAATTAAAACCTTGTTACACAACTTGGTCTCAACACCCTTACTGTTCCTATCTTTAGACTTTGTCATTACAAACAGATTCTGTTAGAAATAAGTTTAGTTAGAAAGTAAATATTTGTAGATTTAGTCTTATCAAGTTCTATTTGCAGATGATTAAACAGTAAATGAGATGGAAATTTTGAAAATTTGTTTATTTTTAGAGATGAGGTTTTGCACTGTAGCCTGGGCATCCTCCAACTCCTGGCCTCAAGTGGTCCCTCTGCCTCAGGGTCCTAAGTGACTAGGGACTACTGGCATGTGATACCACATCTGGAACTAAAGTTGGTGGTTTTTTTTCTTTCGTACCAGGAATCAAACTCATGACCTCTCAATTGCCAGGCAGGTATTTATCCTACTAAGCTAAATTCTTGGAAAAATGTTTTTAAATTGAAGAATAAATGTAGATTGTTTACCTTAAGTTTCATAAAAATTGTTTAAAATAGCATTTAGACCAATGATGACAGCATGTCCTGAACCAGAGTATTACTGATTTCATTCTGTGCTGTTAAGTTCTGTTTAATAAACAGGATATATACACATTAAAAGAGAATGTTAACCAATAAAATCTAATAGGAAATGAGAGGGAGGGAGGGGGAGAGAGAGAGACAGAGAGAGAGAGAGAAAGAGAGAGTCCTAAATCATGTGGATATAGTGCGTGCACGTCTGCATTTGTATAACAGTCATAAAGTACACTTTGGGTCATTTCAAATGTGAGAAAATTCTAAGATGCAGAATTATATCAGAAGACCAAAAGAGGGAGCGAGAGACAAAAAAGTGAAGTGGAAAAAAAAAAAAAACTGAACAGCATTGATAAAATGGTAAAAGAGGTTCTTCTATTACAAACAACTGAAAAGGACCAAATAAAGTATGGAGAAAGTGTTCCTTTGCATAATCAAATGCTAGGCTGGGGAGTATAATATCACCAGAAATTACTATAGCAGAACAATAAGGCCTTGTTGAGCCCACACTGCTTTATTCAAATAGTGTGTAATTCAAAGCAATTGCTTCTCCCCAGGCAGGAATTTACAATTGCTGCATTTGCAGGAAAGATAATGTGTCATTCCAAGGGGAAATCAGGTCTGCAAGGGCCTCATGGTTGGAGAACCTCATGTGTATCCAAACAGCTCTGAAGCAGGCCAAGTAAAACAAAATGACTGAGAACCACCCTGTGAAGTAAGTCTGCTTCAGACTCAGCTGTACAGTATTTCCCTTGCTCCCTCCTGCCTTTGATGAATGTCACAACCTCTCCAAAGCAAGGCGCAATAGGGGAAGGCAGACAACTGAAGCTATTACTTGGAATGAATTCCTTGCCTTACGGCAAGAGCACACAGGTTCAATCCCAAGAACCCCACCATTCAGGTATGGACTCAATGTATATTTAATTGGTAATTATGGTGAATCAGGCATCCTCTCTGGGCATAAAAACACTGGCCAAGAGTCAAACATGAGTCAGTCGCAAGTGGAGGCTTGAATCATAACATTTTGAACAGTTTTGGTCAACAGTCCTTCAGAGCACAATTCTTTAGTTTTATATTGTCATGAACAGTTTAACATCCCATGACTTGTTAACAACTAGCTTTGGTTCCAGTAACTGACTGATCCATGCTTTTAGGGACACCCAGCTGCATCAGTTCCCCAATCACAAATTGTCAAGCCAGGAGTGGCTAGTTCCTGTGTATTAGCTAATTGGGTAAAAAGCAAATCAAATTTAAAAAGAAAAGAAGAGCAAAAGAAACAACTATAGGGGCAAGAGCTTTATGTAGCATCTACCCTTAAAGGGGGTAGACTATTTTTGACCTGAGATCTGCCTGTTACACAGTCCAGAAAATAGCTAAGAACCTTAGATGATGAGACACAAATGATCGGTCCAAAACTCTCTGCTGCTATGTGTTGGAGCAAGCACCCAGCAGTAAAAGGGTGCTGCCATGGGAGAGGCATTTAGTACTCACTGAACACCGTGTGTGCTTTCCCCCCCACCCCAGTTCCCCATCTTTGGTCCTACACCTGAGGCAGCACTGTCACTTCCAGGCACAGAAGAACAGGTATAAATTTTCCTCCTGTCCTCTTCGTCTGCCGCCAAGGTGGTGGAGGCCTATACCTCTATACAGCACAAATGCCAGAGCCCCGGACTCTTGAATGGAATTCCTACATTTCCAGCCACCAATCAGTACTGGTCATGTGCAAAAGGAAGACAAACTTTACAGTGTATGTTAAACCGAGATTCCATGGTTCATTTATTACTGCACTCTTCTAGATTTTTTTTTTTTTTTGTGGGGGGGGGGGATAGGTTCTCTGTAGCCCAGACTGGCCTTGAACTTTGAGTTTTTCCTGCCTTAAGCCTCCCTAGTGTTGGGATTACAGGCCTGCACCACCACACTTGGCAAGATCTTTCTCTTAAAAGGAAAATTTCATCTAGAGAAAGGATGAGCAGTCTGAGCCACACAGCCCTGAGAGAGCCATGGAAACTCTGCCCAGTTCTCTTGCCAGGTCGCCCAAAGGCTTTCCGCTTGCCAGCTGTCACTGGTCCTTTAGGGAGTGGTGGAGGAACTGAGGAAGAGTCCTGCTTGGATGGGGCTAATCTCTGCTGGTTTCTCTTTAGTCACCAATGAACCCTTGGGATTTCAGGCTCGTTCAACACAGCGAAATTATTCATTTTGGTTTCATTTGAGAGAGCAGGTTTCCATGCCTAAGAAGGGTCTTAACAAAACAGGAAGTTTTTCTTGGATCTAGAAATGGAACTTTGCCTTGTGATACTAGTTTTTACCAGCTTCTGCAAATCTCCAATTTCCTACTTCCCTGTTGTCCGTGAAACAAACAGAAGAGCCTAGATACAACTGGGAAATGGTGATTGGTCTGGGAGTAGAGTTAGGACCGCAGGGTGGGGTGGTCAGCAGCCTGAATGACCATCTTCCTATCTGATAACTCTGCCTCCCACTTTCTGCCCCATTTTGGCCCTGGGGAAGAGGTATGGAGGTATGAAAGACCAAGGAATGCTTGGGCTCTGATAGCAACCCTTCACCTATGCATCCCAGCTGGTATCTCTTCAGAGTCCACTCCATGGGCACAGGGAGCACGTGTGTCTTGTTCTGACACCTGCCAAACAGTGTGACAGTTGCACACAGAATTAAAAGGCAGAACTAAAATCCCAATTTCTATTTTCTTTCAACTGTATGACAGATTGAAAAAAGACCTTTCTTAAGGCTCCTCGGCCCCCAATTCTGAGAAACAGGCAATAGCAGACACCGCACCAATACACATAAGGCACCATATAGAGAGCCTCATAGACCAATTCAGGAATGAAGTTATCAACGACCTGAAGCTAGAAGTATGCAGAATAGTTAGAGAAATGCTAAGTACCACCCAAGAGAAAACAGGTGGTGGAATGGAAGAACAGAAAAAAAGGGGAGAATTGTTTGATGGAGAAAACAGAGAAAGCATAGAATACGTGAAGCAGGTTCAAAGGGTCTACCAAGATACTAAGAAGTCTATAGAAGACTGGCATAACAGCTTGAAAGAAACTAAGCACAGACTATCTGAACTGGAGGGCAGACTTGTAATATGGGAGAATGAAATGAAAAACTTCTTAAAAATAACAAAGAAACAAACAGCAATAATACAAAGACAAGAAGATGATAAGAGGATCCATAACTTAAGGATTAAGAACATAAAAGAAGAAGTAGGGACACAAACAAGTGAACTACAAAAGCTACTCACAGAAATAATCCAGGAGAATTTTCCTAATTTAGCAAAAGGTAAAGATACTCAGATGTATGAGGCATACAGGACCCCAGCTACCTACAACCCAAACAGAGCAACACCCAGGCATATAATAATAAAAATTCCAGAAATTCAATACAAGAACAGAATATTAAAAGCTGTCAGAGACAAGAAACAGACCACTTACAAGGGAACACCCATCAGAATTACAGCAGATTTCTCTGCACAAACCATCAAATCACGAAGAGCGTGGGGGGAAATAATTCAAGCTTTGAAAGATAATAATCTCCAGCCAAGATTGAGATATCCTGCACAACTGTCCCTGGAAATTGATGGAAAAACAAGGTGCTTCCAGGATAAAGAGGAACTGGGGGAATTTGCAAACACCAATTCAACTCTACAGAGAGTATTGCAGGATATTCTAAAAAAAGAAAAATACAAAGAATCCAGAAATAATGGCAGAGAGGCCACAACGAATGGAGCAGAGAACAAAATGAAGAAGACAAACTGACAGCTACTGACAGAAAAAGAGCTCAACAGAAATGAGGCAGAGAAGATTGGATGATAGGAACAGCTATTTTGGAGAAAATGACATCTTAATAGGTAATAATGATTTAGTATCATCTTGTTTTGAAGTCTAATCTAGCTTTTGTCCTTCTGTCTCCAATGGTCTAATGCTGTATCTTATTGGATTTTATTATGTATGATAGTATAAGCAAAAACCTTTTAAAGACAAGGAGATTATACAGAAACCATTGTTCATTTTCTGTTAGTCGATTCTAAATACTCTGTAATGCTGTCATTCTCTTGAATGGTTTTACATTGTTTTGATATACTTAATGCTACAGTATACGAACTTGTACTCAAGGATTTCAAAGAAAGAAACAATATGGTAACTACTTTTAGGTTAGGATTATCTGGTGGTGAAACACTATTCTGCTTAAATGGTTATGTTTTGATCTGCGCTGTTTCGTTGTTATGCCCTCTTTTATCTCAATCTCCACTCCATTATTTACTTTTTTATCTTTATCCTTTTAATTAAAGGAAAAAATAGCAGGATATAATATAGTAACCCACTTTGACTTTTCATTACCTTGATTTAAAGCCCTGTATTACTCTCACCATCTGGTTTTTAACTGATGTTCCCCTATTCTGTTTTGCTGGATAGTATCAGGTTCGAAAGTTTAGGCATCAGCTGTGAAGATAATGAGATTCATTATGGCGCCCATTCTTGTTGACTTTTATCTACTTTTGAAGACCTGCAATGTCTCCAATGTTTTGGTTTTGTCGGTTTTATTCTTTACTGTTTTGTTCAATTGTATTATAACTAACGATATAGGCAATTCTATTAGAGATAGCGGGAGGCATTATGGTAACCATTGTTGATCACCTTGTATTATGTTTTTACATTATCTATTATGTCCACCCTTTTGACTTGATCGATTCTGTTCTGTTATGTCACATTTGGTTTTACTCTCTTCCAAAAAAGTAATAAGAACTGTGGGAGCAATGAAACCCAAAATGTGTAATAGTCATGGTACAAAAGAGAGGAAAAGAAAGTGCTCCAAACTATATAACTGCATGTATATTTAAGTGTATAAGATAGAAAATGATATCACAGAGTTTTATTGGATCAATGAACAGAACTGTTTGCAGTATCATTGATGGAATGTCCACTTTACAAGCTTTAATTTTGTGACTTGAACAATTATTCCTAAGATGACAATATGTAATCCATTAACTAGTGATTTCCTACTGTTCATTTTTTTTCTGTAAATCTGTATAACTTGTACCCTTTCCCTGCTTTTTTTTTTCTTTTCTCCTTAAATAAAATTTAAAAAAAAAAAAAAAAGAAAGAAAAAAGACCTTTCTTTATCCCACCTAACATAGTATATGGGCTCTTTATCATCACCATTATATAAATCATCACCATGAGATCATGCTATAGATGTCTACACTTTTATTGGAAAAGACACTAACATTTTAACATTGCTAGGAACCTGTAAGCTACTACTATCTACTACCCGTAAGCTAACTACTCAGAAAGCTGAAGGAGGAAGACTGTAAATCTGAGGCCAGTCTGGGCAGCTAGTGAGGGCAGTGTGGGACTTTGTCTCAAAATGAAAACTGAAAAAGGTTGAAGATGTAGCTCAGCAGCAAAGTGCCCTGGGGCTCAACCCCACCAAAAATAAATAACCCAAAAGAATCCTAACAGCATTATTACTATATGACAATCTTGTGATTATTTTAAAATTCTTAGTGATTTCTATTTTCTATGCTATCTAAAAATAGGAGTTAATGGTCTCAGTTCAGTATTTTATGTGGCCACATCTGCTATATTCTACTAAATGAGTTGAGAATTATTAGTGTTTGTGTATTAGCACATACCATAAGTTGACTAAGATATGGAATATATAAAGGAACCTAATGGCCTTCTACCTCAACACTGAATTAGTAATCAGGTATGTTTAGAAGAGTAAATTACAGGAAGGGAATGGTGGCATCGAGTGCTTTGTCCAGTCTGCATTTCTCTTTGTGTGTGCAAGGAGTGCGAGATTGAACTCAGGAGAGCTGCACTCTTAACCTCCTGACTAACCATACTGGAATTTCAGGCATGGACCACCTTTTCTTTCTTTGCTACTGGGTCTTGCTGTGTGGCCCAGGCTAGCATGAATTCTTGGATCTAAGTGATCGTCTCTCCTCAGTCTCTCAAGCAGGTGGGACACCATCATACTGGCCCCTTCTCTTCTTACATAATAGATCCACACTGTTGTCCTTAAAAAGGAGACTATCTTCACCTTTTTGCTTTCTGCTGGAATGCATAAGGGACAGTGGGAGCCGATTGTGGGCTGCAATATGGGAGCCAAATACCGAGGGTGGCAGCACAGGAAGCTGGGCCTCTGAAACTGCTAAACTGACAATGGATTGTGGCCAGTCTGTTGAGTGGTTGAACCTGTATTCGTAGCCAGATTCTAGCTATCCCTCCTCCTATTCATGTCATAATTTGTGCATGTGTGCAAAGGATTTTTTGTGGGAAAATGGTTCAGATGAGCCGTCTTGCCATCTGGTCTCTGGGACAATGTCAAGGCCATGTCTGCTAAAGTCTATTAATTTAAATAAATGATCATATTGAGAATTATGAGTGTTTGGGTATTAACACAAAGCATAAGTTAACTAAGCCACGGAGCAGAACAACAAAAGAAGTAAAGCCAGTTTAAAACAACTAACACTTCTTAGCTCAGTTTCTGTGGGTCAGGCTGGGGTACCACCAGCTAGCCTGTAATTTAGGGTCTCCCACAAGATTGTAAACTAGGTACTAAACTAGGGTTCATCTTTTCATCTGATTCTCTACTGGGCTTCCTTGCCCATTAATATGGAAGATTTTCAGGTCTTCAGGGGAATAGCAGCTTAACAAGGAATGTAACTGTTTTGCTATTGTTGTCTTTTTGAGACAGGGTCTCACTATGCAGTTCAGGCTGGTCTCGAACTCAAAAGTGATGGATCCTCCTGCGTTAGCCTGCTGAGTGCTGGGATTACAGGCATGCGCCACCACACCCTGCCTGGAATTTAACTTTTTTGATAGTGTTTAGGAACAACATATATGCTTACCTTGAGATGGGCTTGTTCACTGGCCAGGGCCAGTGATTTCGATGTGTGATCTTCCTGAGTCTCCTGGGTCCCCTTCAGGATCTATTGAGTGCCACAATGTCCTATTTTAAGGAGGGATTAGTATAAATCCCCTCTAACCCAAGTAATTAGCATCTCTGGTCTATCTCAAAGTTTGCAACCCATGTGAGTTACTTTAATACTAAAACATGAGACTGAATGCTACATGTACTTCATAGTTTTATTTACGAGTTCCATTATGACTTCTGAGGCCATTTTCAAATCTCATAGCCAAGGATGCCGCTATTTTTCTTTAGCTTTATATTTTTTTGTGCTGAGGACTGGACCCAGGGTTTCTAGCTTGCTAGACAAGCATGCTACCCTACTCCGTTTTTCTCAATTTCTCAAATCAGTGCTATAAGCTGAAAAGTTGCAAAGCACCATCAGACTTTAAGCCTCCCTCTGGTTGAAGCCAAAGCCCATTTTGTTTCCAGGCCTCAGTGAGCATAGTTGGTTGGTCCAGGGGCTGGAAGAAGTCATTGGACAGCATTCCAGGCCTGTCAGCATCTTCAACCAGGAGCTTTGTTATTTGCTGTAAACAGCTGTACATTTGCAGAACCACAGGCACACCCGCATTAAAATGTTAATTACTAAAAGGCTTGGGGCATGCCAGATCAAACAGTGAATGAAAGTCCCAGCAGAGTTCTGTCTCTGGATCTCCTCCACTAGCTGAGATGATGAAGACAGACAAGATTAAACTTCTTAAATAACATTTAGTCAGATCTCTTTAACCTCTCGTCGTTTTGTGAATCTTCAGTACTCCACAGAGTAACAATGGTTGATGCTCTCAATTGCTTTCAACATGCACAACCTAGTCTGGAAAAGGAATAGACTTGTTTAAACAGAACTTGTTCAGGTTTCCAAGTTGGGCTGTAATTGTTACAGAAGATCTGTGGGCAACTCTGGTTCCTACTTGGTTTTCTTAGAAGTTCCAGAAACCCTAGTTTCTGATGTTGTCCAGCCAGGACAAACCTTAACCAACAAAAATTTGTTTGGGATGAAAGAGGCTCATTTGTTTTCAAATTATGGCCCTTCCTGGGGGCTCCTCTCCCATGCCTCAGTCCAAGGCTTTGACTTAAAACCTTCTACCCATATGAACTTGGCATTCAGTGGCCTCCAGCCAAGGAGTTAAGGTGTACACCACAGCGAGTTAAGGGTAGAGAGTGGGGTCAGGAGAGTCAGAGAAGAAAAGCAGTAAGTGATCACATGCTCAGCATAAGGGACTGTGTATACCAGGGTGGTGAG